AGGTGTATTTCTACAAAAAAAAAAGAAAAATGTTTACCTTTTCCATCAGCATCTGCTTCATCAGAAGAAAAAACATTTATAGGAGAAAAGAAGAGACAAAAAGCCAAAAAACAAAACGGCAGAAACGCCGCGTTTCTCACGCCTCCTACTGCCATTTCCTGGGGCGAGCTGAGCTGAGCTGTCTGTACACCGCAGCACAGATTTCGCCTTGCTGCGTGATGCAAGGCTTCAATAAAATATAAGCACCAAAAGAAAATAAAATAAAATATTATATCTAAAACAAAATACAATTCATCACAAACACAGCAACACCTCAATAGACACTATACTGGCGAACGCCGACGGGCGCTGCTGCTGAGCTGCTGAGACGGCGCTGCCTCTTGTGCTCTGCTGCTGCTGCTGCTGCTGCTGCTGCTGCTGCTGCTGCTGCTGCTGCTGCTGCTGCTGCTGTAGTACGTGCTCTCGAGCATATTATTTCTCCCCTTTTGTTTTGCTTTGTAATTTAAATTTATTTTTAATATTATTTTATGAAAATACTCAGCTTAAGGATTATATTAAAATGTTTATGTTTTAGTTTTATACATATAGGTTGCTGCTGCTGCTGCTGCTGGCTGGGTGAGAGAGAAGCACACCGCACCCTCCTTGTCTCTCTCAAGAAAGAAGCTGCATGTGTTGTTTTTTTTTTGTTTAAAACATTTTAAATTTATTTTATTTTATTTTTTTATTTGCTTTCTGCTGCTGAACAAACAAACACGAGAGACGCAGAACACCACTCAGAGCCTAGCCGCTGCTGGGGTGTACATGCACCCCCCTCCTACACACCAGGGGGGTAGCCATAGAGAAAGTAAACGATATTTTCTTATTCATTTCATTTATTTCTAATTTTATTTTATATTTAAAATAATTAAATTTATTTTTTTATATTTATAGTTGAAACAACAACGCTCTTAATCTCACTCTTTTCTGCTGCACATACACCGCAGCAACGACCCCCATCACCATACAAACTTAATATAATAATTTCGTTATAATATATATATATATATATATATATATATATATGTATATATATAATTTTAAATCTATTTAAATATTATTTTAGTTTAAAACACTCATTTATATAAACAGGAACACAGACGTACTTGGTCTAGGGTTTAGGGTTTAGGGTTTCCATTAAGTTTGAGGGTTTAGGGTTTACGTTTAGGTTGGGGGTTTAGGGCTTTTATAGAGGCTGAGGGTTTAGGGTTTCTATTTAGGGTTTGTATTGATGTTGAGGGTTTAGGGTTTAGCGAGCTTTTAGAGTGTTGCTGGGTTTTGTTTGTATATACTCTTTATACTTTTTATATCTTTTTCTTTTCTTATAAATACCTTTGAGGGTTTATACACGGCTAAAAGACGCCTAAACCCTAAAACCCTAAACCCTAAACCCTAAACCCTAAACCCTAAACACACACACAGGGTCTAGGGTTCAGGGCTAGGGTTTAGGGTTTTAAAATGTATATATATATATATATATATATATATATATATATAT